TAGTTTTGATGCAAAAACGCATGATCGCACCGGCTCGCCTGGTGCGTTCCAGCCTTTGTTTTATCCCTCCTCAAACGCATGCAAAATGTCTTTCACAGAAATCACTCACCTCTGCAATGCTGCAGAGTAAAAACAAGTCTGTTACAGCGATGACGTTGTTCAGCGAAGGCAACCGATGACAAGATATAGCTCGATACCCGAACTAATCCTTTAAAATTCAATTTTTTAACGGCCAAGTTTTGCGCTGCTCAGCTCATTCTCATAGTTTTTTTGATTATACGTGTAATCGGAGGATACAATATATACTAACTGTTGTATTATGTCATAATAGTTTTACGAAGTTTTATCAGAAAATAATGTGTTATAAAAATATACTATCAGTAGATATTTTTTCATATTTTAAAACCTTTCTCTGTACTTTATCATTTCTTTGACCAAACTCTCAACATTTTTCGAATGTGAACGCGCCAAATGTGTTAATTCAAAAGCAAAGACTTGGTAACGGAAATTAGTTAAAAATCGAGCATTCGAGACGAAGCTTGCTGTATATTTTTTTTCTGCCACATGGGATCACACATTTGGCGCAACAGATAATTGGCATGAAAGATGTTACCGCGATTATGAGGGGAAATCAAAGAAAAATGACTTGGATGAGGTATTGTCTCCGTTGTATCAATCAAGTGCGCACAGCTTATCAGTGAAAGGCATCCACGAAAAAGGAGAAAGCAATTATCTGGACGGTGATCGAAGAGAAGAATGCGTCACTGAGGGCAGTGACAGGTACAAACTGAAAACAATTAGCTCAGGTCGGAGAAGCCTGGAAGAGATATGCTTCGAATGGTTGGTAACATTGAAGTTTCACTTACTGAGAGCCTAGACGAAGAATGAATCTTGATTTCGATACTGGCAACCAAAAACAGCGGTGAGGGGATAAGAAGACAACTGTAAAAGGGAAATTCACTCGAAGTATTTCGAGGGCAGCAAATGCCAGTAGCAGCTATCCACGGGGCTGTAGATGATCCTCCCCTCTTAAAGTTGTTTTCAAGTGAGCAGATGACGGATTTGACTTCTCGACATTGATTGGTACCAGTTTACCATCCAGGTAAATGAAGAAGTCGTAAAGGTATTGGCTGAAAAAGTTGTTCTATATATACCGCATAGGCTACCTCTCCTTTGTTCTCATTCCACAATCAGAACACAGCCTTGTCTTGAAGATTTCTTTTAGGACAGATATGATCTAAATCCGAAGTACAAGCGCCAGCACTAAGGCAGAATTCTTTTTCAAAAATGCTGACTTACGATCAACTTATGCAAAGACGCCGAAACCGCCGCTATAAAAGACAAATCTTGAAGGAAAGCACAAAATCCTACATAAATTGATATGATTTTATCAATGTACCGCAATTAGTGATTGCAAAACCGATGCAGTACACAACCAGCAACATTCGCGCATTGAAATGAAGCGATCTGATGCGAAAAATTGTAGCCGCTGAGAAAATAGCGATTGCTGCACCAATGAGAGCGATCACTAGCTCAAATATGTTCATAATGCGGACCAGTGACGATTTCACGTAAATTGCTTCCACGGCTTTACACAGTATATCCTCAGAACTGTAGTGATCCATCAGCAGTCCTGTAAAAAATTCATTTAGTCACGAGTTATCCTCAACAACTTGAGAAATTATTAGCTGCATTCGTTAGGAAAAACCATGTGCTGAATGAGGGGAAGTTTTGTTTTAAACAAACAATATATAAAAGTGTGCGCGCGTCAGTACAAACGGATTGTGACAATGCCACCTGCAATGGTTTGCTACCCAAGCTCGTGCATGCAAAGCACAAAATTTCTGCATCCACGACTCGTTTCGGTCTCTCATTACGCTGCCCGGAGGAGGTATTTGATTGGGAGTAACGCATTTGCGTCACTCCATCCTGATTTCCTAAACATGTAAATCAGAATAGAGTGACGCAAATTGTGCTAATTAGGGTTATACAGATTTGGGAACATGCTGTCAGCATCGACGAGTAAACGTCAAAAAGTGATACACTTTAAAGTAGATGATTCTGACGGGTGGAGCTGCAATCACAACAAAATTAGCTAGAATTCATTGGTGCTTAAAAACTGTGTAACGTAGCAACACTGGTGAGCCACTTATCTGAACGACAGTTGCAATGTTGAAATTACCCACTTTTGAGAGAAGTGGGTAATTCATTTGAAGTTCAAAAGCCATTTAGTACCTACCCTGATTCCTTCTGAATACGATTTGAGCCAAAATCGGATACAATTAAATAACTTTATGCAAAATTTGGCTGATTTGCTTAGACGTAAAGTAGAGGGAAGCTTTTTGACTCTGGAAAGGGAAAATTCCAAGTTGCAACACACCAGACTTGCCAATATGATTATGCATTTTTGCACTAACCTCGCAGCAGTTAGGTCTTTAACAGGATGAATGACTCCTACTGTTACAGTTTAACACTCAGTCACATACTGCTTATATTTCAGTGTTTCTTGCAAGCAGAGAGAAAAGGGTGCTGGTCAGAATGGTAGAGTTGCATCGTGAGTTTACGTCAACCTTCAGCATGCTTGTTTATCACTTTTACATGAGGTCCTGCCGTTTTTCCGGTGAGCGGTCCTTCATCGAAGAAATGCAAATGTGACAATATACAAGATTTGGGAACACAATTACTAAATCTGTAAAGTGCACTAGCATTTGAATTAATGATAAAATTGAGTACTTCTCATCCCTTTTGGAAGAAATTTAGCCTCCAGACCATATGTAGATTGCACGTGAATGCAGAATGTCCTTACAAAATTACAGCCTCGCAGCTTGTCTGCAAAGCGAAATAGCTGCTACTCCTAAACTGAGACACAAGTGAAAATCGTAACTCATTCTAGGTAAACGATTTCCCGAATGAGCAAAAAAAATCATGAAAAAATTTCAGTTACATGTTTTTAGGCTAGTTTAGGCTAGCAAGACGTTGACGTGCACAATAGCTGAATTTGAAATCTTCAGGTCACTCTTGAATATAAAACATCAGTGTGAAACTTCAGCCTTCTGCTTTCCAATCCTCGAAACGATTTTTCCACTGCTAAATTTGCAGGTTACAAGGATACTACATACGCTCCCAGCTTTTCTGGCTCCTGAATTCAATGTGGCTAACAAGATTTCTCGACAATATTTGCTTTTGCTCTTTTCAGTAGCACTGTAAAGCTGCACAGCAAAAACGCATAAAAAATCGACAAATGAAAAACTACCAAGGAAGAATTCAAAAACGACGGATGGGATCAAGACGAATCAAAATTCACACAGCTGCACAGAACAGCAAAATCGGTATAAAATCAAACTCTAGACAGGTTGCGATAAAAATATGCAAAAAATGCACTTTAGTGCGGGAGCGGATATGGTTTTAAAGGACAAATATTGCTTAATGAGGAGTAGATTTGGCTTATAAATCACTGAGTCTGACACCACCATTTTTTTTTTAGAATACCGTATTCAGGCTGTGCTTGTTTAAAGTCCCTTTGCACGTACTGGACTTAATTTGTGACAGCTAATCTTTTTTTTTAAGCCAACAATTTTATGTTTGCAGCCTTTCTCGGTTATATTTCAGAGTCTGCGTCCATCTTACAGCCATAACACAGTGTTAAATTGAACCACGTAAATGACAAATATGAGTTGAATTATGCTCGCCTGCTATAGCTTACCAAGTGCACCACGGCACTTGCATGCATCAAACGAAATGATCGGAAGCATGGTGTCAAAGATGCTAAAAGTCAAAGCCCTTTTCATATTTCACTTGCTTTAAGAGGTGAAAGCAAATGAAAGAGAACTGGGTGATTGTTATGCATCACAAGGTTGCATACGAAATGCCCTAACACTAATTCATTTTGTCAACGCAAAGAAACACGATTCCCGTAGTTGACAGCTATAAGTGATACGTACGCATAAAACTGCTTCCAACCCTTCTGTCACCATCGAAGTATCATGGCAGTAAGGAAATGATGAATTTGCTTCACGCGATAATGTACCCATTTTCACATAGCCTGTGGTCTCTCCAGGGCATCTAAATTGTGCTGGGAATATTGAAGCCTCATTTACATTTGAAAATTCTGTTTTCTTTTTTCAGGAATTTCTTGTTCAGCAATGACTTACAGTACTAGGTGATTTTCGATAGATCCAGGTCGTTCCACAGCAGCATCCTTACTCACACTTGAAATTTGTTAAAGCTTTCTGCGCTCCTTGCCAAACCATATCGCAGACCTGGTGAAAAGACTCCAAGAACTGGGTTTTATTTTTATGCGTTTTTTGCATCTATGCAATGCAAAAACGCATACTGTAGAGGGGTTGTCTGTGTGTATGTGTGTGTGTGTGTCTGTGTGTGCGTCTGTAACGAGTTTTCATCTCGAGATCC